TTCGATGCATCTTACCGTCTCCACCCCGTCAAAGGTGCGCGTCGAAGATCTTCCTCGGACAATCCAAGAAGACCTAGACAAGCCAAAAGCCAGGCCATGATCACCAGAGCCGTAATTGCAGCTAGTCTGAATGGTAGGAGAGCCACAGTCAGGAATGCCGTCTGAAATACGAAGCATTTCCGCTTCAACAACTGCTATCAATATGTTGCTCCGATATAGAGGAGGGAAAAAAAAAAAAGAATTCTTCTTTGATGCATTATATTTCATCTCTTCTCTATCTTTTTGTGATCTCTGATGGATCTTTAATTAATCTTATTATTTGTTATATTCTTTGCATTTCCGTGTACATGATTAGGAAGAAATTTTTAAATTAATATATTCGTAGTTTATTCGATTTTAATTATTCCATCTTCTATGGGAATATTTTGAAAAGAAGAGATAAAGAGAAATTAATTCTAAATTAAATTCTAATGTTCAGCGATGATAAAAGTTTCCAAAAAAAAAAAAAAAACAACAATATATTTTTCTTTCTTCCTAATATCTAAATTTTTTAACTTATTTCATTTTAAAGATGGAAAATATTTTTTACCCCTGCCAGAAAGAATCAGAATCGAAACAATTACTATTCAAGAAATTATATTTTCTGCCAAGATGATAATTAAAAAGAAATCGATCTGATAATTTATAAATCAATGACGATCAGCCAGGTTGTAAACGACAGAAAAGTATATATCAAAATTTCAGAATATGTGAAAGATAATAAATTCGGAGATAAAATATTTCGAGCGAATTTCGAAATCAGGTAGTTTGTTGAATCGAATCTCGAAAGAAGAAAAATAAATAAAGGAAAAATATTAGTCTAGATCAAAGAGGAGTAAAATAGTTCAGGGTTTCTTTATTCGAGAAAGAAAGAATGAAAATGCATCTCGTCATTTTTTTTTTTTTTTAGTCCCTATTAACGGTGACTCAAGTGAGGAGGTATCGCGAAGGTTTTCGCTGATAAGGAACTATCGAAACCTTGATCAGCACAATCTATACATACTTCATCGACAGGATGAGGCACAAACATTCGATATATATATATATGTACGGTAGCTTATTTTGTATGGTAATCGATAAACGGCCCACCTTAGATGGTTAGAAGGACGATGACCTTCCGTGCCGATTGCTCGGAGTAAAATTTTTATTCGATCGCTCCTTTCGACCATCGATCCATGTTAACTCATCTCAATGCATCGCAGTCAATTCGTGTAATGTTGCATTACGTTCGATTCGATTTTATTTATTTATTTATTTCGTGTATAAAGCTGTATATAATCGTGTATAATCGTATTGCGTAATAATTTTCAAGTTTTCTTACAGAAAAGGATTTTTGAAAGAACGACGCGAGAATGTCAATATCAGCTAGCGCAAACAGACGACATTCACTTTCTACTTCTAATTGCATCATTGGCGAGTTAAGCTATTGTAAGAATTTTTTTTTTTTATATTTTGCTTTCTCGAGAATTTAAATCGTCGGATTTTATATCATTTAATAATTTAATTTGCATACAAGTCGTATGGCATTTAGATTTATTATTAATAATACGAATACTGTTAATTTAATATTGAGCCATTTTTATTATTAAAACGAATAAACGTAAACGTGATGTACAAAATCGTTCGAAACGAAATAGAAATTTATAAAATGTATAGTAAAATTGATAATTGCAAATAAACATCCATTTCTAATCTTATTTTTCAAGTTACAAGTTACAATTTAACTTTGGTAAATTAAGTTAAAGCTAGAATTAGATCCGTTTATTTATCTTTCTCTTCTAATACCTAACTTCCGTTCAAAAATCGTGTCACTTCATTTTAAATCAATTTAACTCGATATCTCGTACTGAATGGAAAACTTAAAAAAAAAAAAAAATGCAATTTAAAATGCGCGAATTATTAATTTACGAAATTATCGAGAAATTTAATCGAGAATCGAATACATCATTCGTAAAAAATTCTTTTTTTTTTCAAAAATAATAATCGTGAAATTAACGAGAGAATAATCGGAGAAACGGTGGAACGGGATAGAGGTCACGTGTTATAATCAATTAATCCCGGAGTTCACCGAGCGAACCTTCGTTTCTCGGCCGGAACAAGGACTACTTTTTTGTTCAGTGGGCCAAGGTTACGGGGCTTGAGAGGAGATTTAGGATGCTGGATGGCACGAACGATCGAGAGAACGAAACGGAAAAAGATGGTAGGGAGAGGAGAGAGGTAAAAAAAGAAGAAACGAGTACCGTTCAGACGTTCCGTTAGACTCTATCACCTGTTCACGTCATTTTGTGCCCGCAACCACAGACGCACGCATGTGTATTTACATAACGCGTACACACGAAACTTTCAAGATCGAGGTTATGACCGAGTAATCATTTCGACATATACCAGA